GTTTATGAGCCCACTGAGCAATGATAAAAGTAGCTGGGGAGAGAAGATGAGTGGTTTCCACAGAACCATTCATCTTATCCCCTTGATTTTTAAAATCCTCCTCTGCTGAGGTCACCCTTTGGTGAGCATTCACATCAGACACAAATACCTTCACATTTTTGGCCCATTCAGAGAGCTCTATCCACATAACTCTTTCCCATAAATCCATGTCTCCAATTTTCCAATCATGTTCCTTCCAAGTCCCTAACCATCTAGCAAAACCACTGGTCACAGCCCATGAATCAGTATACAATCACACATCTGGCCATTTTTCTTTCCAAGCAAAGTGAACAACAAGGTGCACTGCTCAAAGTCCTCCCCATTGGGAGGATTTCCCTTCACCACTGTTGTTCAGGGAGGTCCCAGAGAGGGGCTGCAGTGCTGCCATTGTCCGCTTTCAAGTGGTGCCTCTATATCACGCAGAACCATCTGTAAACCAGTCATGAGTTTTCTCTTCCTCAGTCAACTGATGATAAGGAACTCCGCATGAGGCCATATATGCACAATGGGAGAGAGCAGGCAATGTGACAGAAGTGGAGACCATGGGCATTTGGGCCACTTCCTCATGCAACTTATTTCAAGTCCTGCTTGAATTTGATCTCGAATATACCACTTCCATTTAACAATGGAATGCAGCTGTGCATGTTGACTTTATGACTGTGGGTCAGAAAACACTCAGTTCGTGAAGGGCAGCTCAGGCCACAAGGTGACTTGGTAGCCCAGGGTTAAGCCTTCAGTCTCCACTAAGGCCCAGTAACAAGCCATAAGCTGTTTCTCAAAAGGACAGTAGTTATCTGCAGAGGATGGAGAGCTTTACTCCAAAATCCTAAGGGTTTGCACCATGATTCACCAATAGGGGCTTGCCAAAGCTTCCAAACAGCATCTTTATGTGTCACTGACATTTCAAACACCATTGGATCAGCCAGATCTTATGGCCCAAGTGGCACAGCAGCTTGCACAGCAGCCTGAACCTGTTGCAGAGCCTTCTCTTGTTCTGGGCCTCACTCAAAACTAGCAGTTTTTGAGTCACTTGATAAATAGGCCAGAGTAGTACACCCAAATGAGGGGTATGTTGCCTCCAAAATGAAAGAGGCCCATAGGGGGTTGTACTTACTTTTTAGTTGTAGAAGAGGCCAGATGTAACAATTTATCCTTCATTTTAGGAGAAATATATAGATATGCCCCACACCACTGGACCCCTAGAAATTTCACAGAGGTGGAAGGTGCCCGAAATTTTGTGGGATTAATTTCCTACCATCTAGCATGCAAATGTTTTACCAATAAGTCCAAAGTCATTGACACTTCTTCCTTCCTAGGTTGACACTTCTTCCTTACTAGCATAATGTCATCAATGTAATGAACCAGTGTGACAATTCGTGGAGGGGAAAGGTGATCAAGCGCCTTGTGGACTAAATTATGAGAGCTGATATACCGCTGAGGTAGGGCAGTAAAGTATATTGCTAGCCTTGCCAGATGAAGGCAAACTGCTTCTGGTGTTCCACTGAAACTAGAATCAAGAAAAAAGCATTGGCCCCCTCAATAGCTGCATACCAAGTACCCACAGATGTATTAATTTGCTCAAAAAATGAAGCCACATCTGAAACAGCAGCTGCAGTTGAAGTCACCACCTGGTTAACATTAATCGACTGTCATTCTCCGACATCCATCTGTTTTTTTCAAGGCCAAAAGGTGAGTTGAATGGGGATATGGTGGGAATCACCGCTCCTGCATCCTTCAAGTCTTTGATGGTGGTAGTAATCTCTGCAGTCCCTCTAGGAATGGGGCATTGCTTTTGGTTTACTTTCCTAGGTAGGGGCAGTTTTAATGGCTTCCACTTGGCTTTTCCTGCCATAATAGCCCTTACTCCGTTTGTCAGGGATCCAAAGTTGGGGTTCTGCAAGTTGCTGAGTATATCTATTCCAATTATGCATTCTACTGCTGGGGAAATCACTATAGGATCAGTTTTAGAACCCACTGAACCCACTGTGAGATGAACTTGAGCTAAGACTTCATTAATATCCTAACCTCCATAGCCCCTACTCTAACTGGTGGGCCACAGTGATGTTTTGGGTCTCCCGGAATTAGTGTCAGTTCAGAGTCAGTATCCAGTAATCCCTGAAAAGTCTGGTTATTTCCTTTTACCCAATGGACAGTCACTCTCGTAAAAGGCCACAGATCCCTTTGGGGAAGGCTGAGAGAAAGATTAACAGTGTAAGTTTTCGGCAGTGTAGTGGGGCCCTTCCACAGGTGGACCCAGACTCTCCTTCATTCAGGGGCTGTGGGACTGTAAATAGGCTCAAGTCTGGGAATTGACTGAGGAGACATAACTCTCTATTCTGGTGATTCAAGTTAGACTGCCATTCACTTGACCTAGAATTCTTCCACTTATACAGATTAAGTAAATTCTTAGTAGATTTCCCATATATTTCACTCCTGGGGAAACCATGACTAAGTAGCCAATGCCCTAAGATCATACGAATCAGACTATTCTGATTGCTGCTTTGACTCTGCTGTACATTACAGTAACCAAGCCCATCTTGTCTTTGTCAACTGAGTGACACCAAGGGGGTCCAATCGGCCCCATTATAGTTAGGTGTCTTAATTCAGTTAGGGCAGTTACCACTGTCAAATCTGACTTACATAAAATAGCAATCACAGCAGTCTTCAAGGATGCTGGGGCTCCTTTCACAAATTTGTTCCTCACCGTTGTGGTAAAAGGTGTGTCCTCTGGGCATTGCATGTGTGGGTCTGTGGGTCAGTCTGATAAATCCACTCTAACATGTCAATTTACCTAAGACTTTGGATAGTTATTTCTACAATATACCAAGGCAGGGCTGGTACTTTAACTTGATTTAGTGTAGGCCACCGCAGAATCCATGCTTCAGCAACCCAACTAAATAAACTATTAGATCCTTTCCTACAGTCTCAAGCTGCGACACTGAATGAAGAATCTGTGCTTAGTGGGCCCATATCAATAAACTCAGACTGATCCATCTTTATGTTCCTTGCACTATTATCCCACACCCTTAATAGCCATTCCCACACATATTCCCCAGGTTTCTGTTCGCACATATTAGAAAACTAAGCAGTTATTTCACAGTGCAGAGTACTTCCTCCTGGGTCACACTTTGTACTTCACCGTTTGGGACTCATTGGGACTTAAGTATAGTTGTAGGTCTAGATGTAAAAATGGGTGGTGGGAGTGGGTCCTGGGAACACTCAACAATGTCTTATAAGGCACCTGCTTCAGGTGATGCCCAAGACAATGACCCAGGCACTGCCCCAGGCAATTTCTCAGACAAAGACTCTTCAGGCACAACTGGATTAATCCCATCAAATGGGGGTGGAAGGGATAATGGTTTTACTGCGGAGGGTGGCTTAGCAGATAAAGATGGCGTAATGTCTTCAGATGGGAGTAAAAGGGCTAGCTCTGTTGGCAGGAGGGATTCAACAGAATTTAGAGGCTCAGTGTCCCCAGCTTCCAGATTATCGGCCCATATGTCCCATCCCAAGTTTCAGGATCCCATTTTTTTCCCAATCAATGCCCTCGGTTTAACTTCAGACATCATTTGAGGTTGGGAATTCAACTGGCACTGTAATTCAGCCACTCTTATGATAAGACTCTATGTTTGGTTTTCAGCAATGTCAGCTGTTACTACAAGAAATAAGGCTTTTTTTTTTTTTTCAGGGCACAAGTAGCAACTTAGAGGACTTTTATGTGGCACTTGAGCTGTGACTTTGAAGCTCTGAACTCATCTCTTTCTTTTACCACTTTGTCTAACAAAAGTAGGACCAAGCAAACAGCTTCCCTATACTTCTCCTTTTGACAAAATTGTAGAAAAGTATAAAGCATGTGGTCACCCAGAGCCTCGCTTTTCACCAATACTTGATCTATTGGTGGTGATATTTTGCATATTAATATTGCCACCTCACATCATGGATTAGCAGTGCCCTCTTTACCACTGGAGGCAGATTCATCAGCACTTTTAATACTAGTCAGACTTGAAAACCAATTTATTTATAAAACTCATCCTTATGATTTTGTTTCTCTAGAACCATCCCAGTACCAAATGGCTTAGGCTGGGTTCTCTAGAGAAGCAAAACCACTGAAGTACATACGCTTCACTGGTTTCACCTCTCTAGAGAACGCAGTCTAATATATATATATATATAAAACTGAGAGAGACTGAGATTTATCTGAAGCAAATGGCTCATGAGGTTGTAGAGGCTGGCAAGTCCCAAGACTATATGTCAGGCATCAGGCTGGAGGCTTCTCCTGACTCACGTAGATGCAGGAGCTGACAAAACCAAGATCAGCAGGTCAGATGGCAGGATGCTGGCTCACAGGCTGCAGAGGCTGTCGAATCCACGATCAGCAGGTAAGTTGGCAGGCTGCTGGTTCACATGCTGTGGAGGTTGATGAATCCCAAGACTGGCAGACAATACGGCAGGAAGCTGGCTCAACTCCCAAGAACCAGAGGTCAGATGATGATGAGCCAGATGTAGGATCCAGAGTAAGCAAGTGAGCTTTGCCAGAATGTCTCTATACATATTGGAAGCAGGCCACACTCCTGAGGAAACTCCTTTACAACTGATTGGCTGATCACATTAGATCACATCACGGAGGATGACTACATCATTACACAACTGCCAAATTACATCATTACATAAGTGCCAAACTACATCATTATATAACTGTTAAACCACTGAAAATCATGGCTCAGCCAAGTTAACACACAACCTTAACCATCACAGCTACTATTAAAAATATATACGTTCCTGCCACATTAAAGGAGGACACAGGCTTATTGTTAAGTTCTGGAAACAAAATTCTGGTCCATCTTTAAAGAAGGAGCACACACACACAGAGTCACACACACACACCCGTAAACAAAGAGTTTTCTACGTGAGCAGAAGTCCTGTGGCTCGATGCCTGTTACGCCAACTTACTATGTACTTACTTTTGAGGTCTAAGTTCCTGGCTCCTGCTGTTATCTGTGTTGTGATTTTAGTGTCAATCTTTACAGTGTGGAGATTGCTGGTGTCCCTTGATATCATCACATTGTGCCATTGATTGTCATTGAGAGGTTTATTTGAGCTCCCTTTGATGAGGTTAGCACCATTTCCCAAATCAAACACATAATGTAGGTACCTGGGGAAATAATGAGAAGGTGCGAAAGTGCCATCACATTTTGCATTTTTGATGGAATCATATTAGGCATCATACATGGAGATTTTTTTCAGGTAGTTCCATCCTTGCTAGGAATAAGTTTTACAGAAGCTCGCCTAATAAGAAGGTATGAAACACTAATCTTTTTCAGCAAATAAGATTCTTCATTGTCTTCACTATAGACAGCAATGGAAATTATTTTTAAACTCATGGTCTACCTTCCACTTTATGACTTTGGAAGGTCAATAAGGTTAACCACATTTTTCCTCTTTCCTTTCCACCTCTCCCTCCAGCCTGTACTAACCACACTAACTTGGTGATTCTTTTCATCTGTTTACCTGTCTTTCCTCTCCATCTTAATGCCTGTTTCTATATGCGGAATGGGCACTGTACTCATCCTTCAAGACTCAGCTTACATATTCACCCATGTCCCATGCATCTTCCTAATTTCCTTAAGTCCCCTCCTGAGCCTTTGCACATGGTCATCTTAGGAAACTTTTAACACTGCTTTTCTGTTATATTTATGTATTCATTTGCCTGTATCCCCTAGGGTTGTGTGTAGGTGTGTGTGTGTCTGGGGTGGGCGAGGATTGGGGATGTGCACAGAGGTGGTGAGGAACATACATTTCCTATCCTTTTAGTGCCTAGCAATTACCTAACTCATTGTACATATGCGATCATATTTGCTGAATCAATCAACAAATGTTTGAATCAATAAAAAGATATCAAATGTCCATCAGAGTTGCAGGGAAATTCCACAAAAATCTTTCTTTATAAAGTCTTCAAAGAGGACAAAATTAAGCTTGAGTTAAATGTGATTTTGTGAAAATTTAGTGATCTGATTACTTGAATTAACTAGTTAATACAAATTAGTCTACAAACTTTTGTTGTAGATATTCTTTTGTGGAATTATAGCGTGCATGTCATGAAATCCACATCTGAAGCGCAAGACTGATGAAATATCTACCATGAATATCATGACTCAATGTTATTTGTACCTCATGCGTATAAGTGTACAGGCAAAATACTGTACTAAATCTCTATTAACTCTAGAAGATATTTTAGAAGTGATTCAAACAAATACAATATTTGTCCCCCATCCCCATCCCCACCACCTTATAAGCCAATGCATTATGTTTAATCTATATTTTTGGATTTGGAGTCCATTTTTTCAAAGTTTCATTTATGTGTCATTGAACTGACATATACTTACCCTTTAACTAATTCAACCACAATGAAGTCATTTCCATCCCCACTGTTATATAGAATTAGTCCATCTAGGGATGTTGTCTTAAACTGGAAAAAAAGATGCATAGAGGTGTAGGCTTGCAATGTAGCTAAGGCAACATAGCTCGATTTGGTTTTGAAGGTGACAGGGTCGGCTATGATGTTCCTGAAGCCAAATCTGGCATTGAGCTCACAATAATCAATGTCGCCATTTTTACACAAGTCAATGTATGCCATCCCATTAAATGTCAAGCTTTGCAGGTGACCAATGAAGTTGGAGGGAACAGAAGACAGATACCGTCGTTCAGTGATGATGCCAGTCTCTATGTTATGGAACTCCAGCCTTGTGTGATCGCCTGCCATTTGACCTAAATGGGAAGATAATGTGTTACTATTTTCTTTATCTGAAAGGCATTTTCGCCTTTTGACTTCTGTTACAATATCACATTTTAAAATATAAGTATCCAAACACTCCCTCAATATTTGGTTGCATTTAATACAAGCACAAAGGTGACATTAAAGAATGAGGGGAACTTATAACATTTTCTTAGGTCAGGCTTTAATCTCTGTCCAAATTTTAGTATCAACAAAAAATATCTTCATTAACCAAAGTTAGAGAATTATTATAAGTAGAAGGAAAGAATGGAGGGAGAGGTGGGAGAAAAGAAGGAATGGAGGGAAGGACAGAGGGGAAGAGAGGGCCAGAGGGAGAGTGAGGAAAAACAAGGAAGGAAGGGAGGGAGGGAGGGAGGAGGGAAGGATGAAAAGAAGGTAAGCAGGCAGGAAGGTAGGAAGGAAGGAAGAGAGGGAAGGGCAGAAGGAGGGAGGGAGGGAGGAGGGAAGGGATTATGGGTAATGATTATCTATATCACCCTGGTAGGAAGTGATACACCCCAGCTTCATGGTTATGTGATGCTTTTAAAGAAAGCTCTTCTGGAGAGAAAAAAAAAAATGTGATTGTATGTTTTTCTATACTCAATAGCAGTAATGAAGAGCCCCTGACTACGCTTCCAATAATGAACTATAAAGATGTGGTTGAATTTAAATATTTACTTTTCATCTTGCTTTCTCTGTGCTGAATAATGCCCTCAGTCTTTCCTCACACCAACCGCTTTGGAATTTCTGTTGATATCCTTTGGACCCATTGCATTTTCCTTGCATTTATGTTTTAGACATCTAAATGCAGCAAAATATACTAATTGAAGTCATGGCCAATTTTGAGAATGCTGGTAAAATTTGCCAACATTACTTTAAACATGCTAGTATGAAGCTTGGTTGCAGATTTAGTGACTCTATTTGCCTCGGTCCCCATCCCTCTTCACTCTACCATATTTCTCTGTCAAACTCATTAAAAACCAGCCTAGTCCCATTTTTACTTGCAGAGTGATAGTTGTACCTACCTGCAAGGCTGAAGGTAAAATTTAAAAAGTGAGTTTTTTTTTCTAAATGGTAGTCATAACATCAATACAAGGAACTCGTCAATACTAGCGGTTCACACCCAGCATCTTGCCCTTATCTAATTAAACTGCCATTCACTTTCTTCAATTGAAAAAAATATTGCTTAAATTGCAGTCAAGTTCTTCCAGGTGCTAATTTCCCTACTCAATTCGGTATAATAGGAAAATTTATCAACCTTACCCTCTCCCTTCATCCATGATATTAATAAAAATATTAAGTAGAGCCAGTCCCAGAATTAAAAAAAAAAAAAAAGACTTCGAATTTATTCTGATTCATGGTGACCAAATGCGTTACAGAGTAGAACTGCTCCATAGGGTTTTCTTGGCTGTAATCTTTACAAAAGCAGATCGTCAATTCCTTTCTTCCACACCGCTGCTGGGTGGTTTTGAACCACCAACCTTTAGGTTAGTACCAAAACCAAGCCCACTGCTGTCAAGTTGATTTGATTCTGACTCATGGCGACCCTAGAGGACAGAAGAGAACTGCCCCATAGGGTTTCCAAGGAGCGGCTAGTGGATTCGAACTGCCCACCTTTAGGTTAGCAGCCGAGCTAGTTGAATGTAAACCCTTTGAACCATCCAGGGGCTGTCCCAGAATTAACCCCCAAGAAAGCGCACTGAAACTGCTTGCCAGGTGTGATGGAGCATCGGACACTCACCTACAAGTGCCCTCTACAATCAATTTGAAAGATTTCCACTTCTTTAGTCAAGACAATAAAATACTAGACAGCTTCTTTAGGAAGTGCTTGTGAGTAAAATATAAAAGGTATAATCATTGCTCTTCAAGAAAAAATGTTTATTTGTTTAGTTAATTGACTTTAATGATTATAAACTCTTTGGTTTCCAAAATTCTCCCTGGACATGTACTTAAGTCTATTTAATTAGTAAATTCTCGTTACTAGGCCTCAATCCTGATAACAGCACTCCCGTCACCCCTTGGTAGGTAACCTTTCCTGCCATTTGTTTGTGTTGATTCCTTCTCTGCAACTTTTTTTTAAACAAAGAATAACTCTGGAATAATTGTCTCTTCTCCCATCCTTTGCTTGTATGACACAAAAATACTGTTACGTCCTTAGCAATTTTGGTTTCTGATATGACGTTATTTCTCTCTCCTCCTTCAGCTCTACTTGTTCAATGACCTCAATACTGCTCTGTGGGGAAGTACCTCCTTGGTTTCAAATAAAACTAGCCTTTCATAATTTCCAAATATAAAGCTCTTGAGAAACCAGCAACACCGAACTGATGAGCCATATGGAATGAAGATGTGAACAGCTTAAAATTTACTTGGACTTTTATATCCCACTCGGGAGAGTTTTTTTAATCTTTTTCTCTGTATTAAAATCTGAGTTTTCACTCAGTAAACTCCACCCCAATCCCAAAACGATCATGTTTTTATTAAATATTCTATTGATGAATCAATCCATAGGAAGGACATATCCAGAAAAATATTTTAAAATTTTCAAATTAAATATTACCCCAAATTCTCATGTTCTTGACAACTCTGAAATAGGGAAAAGCGTTTTGTGTAGTAGGACTGAGAAGTTCAGTGATAAAAATAACACTGAATATCTGTTTTCTTTCCTCAAAGGAATAGAATATGTATGCACAGCATAAATAATAAAAAGGCAGCAAAACAGTGTTGAAGCTACCGTGGCCCAGTTACAAGAAAAATCATCATGGCCCATGTTCAAGAGCCTATTCTGTCTTTAATAAGCATATATAAATTGCCCTGACAGTAATGGCAGCTAAGCCTGCTCATGGGGGGAGAACTAGCACCTAAAATCCATTATCCTCTGACTAAGAAAACATTAACCGCTGCTGTTTTCTTTATTCTTTTTCCCTCAGAATTTATTCCAGTTTTTAATCCTCTCTCAGTAATGAAGCTTCCTTTACTTTTGTTTATGTCATCCCTTGATTAAATAAGAAGGAAAAAAAAAACAAAACAGGACATTGAAAGTGAACATTTTTTAAGGTTCCAATTTTTTAAAAATGCACTGTCATTTACAGAGATTTAGCTGAAAGGGGAATTTAGAATTAGCAAAATGTTACTGAACAAAGTGTTTGGGGGGATAGCAGATTGACAATAATGTCCAAAAAGAAGCATCCACCAGAACATGTTTCCTGGATGAAGTGTTTGTATAGAAATTTCAATACCCAAAACATCGAACCAGTTGGCATCAAGTCAATTCCGAGTCATGACGATTCCATGTGTTTCAGAGTAGAACTGTGCTACATTGGATTTTCAAGGCTGTGGTCTTTAGGAAGGAGATTTCCAGGCCTTTCTTCTGAGGTGCTTCTGAATGGATCCAAACTGCCAGTCTTTCAGTTAATAGTCAAGCGCTTAACCATTTGCACCACCCAGACTCCAGAAATTGCAATACCAAAAATAAAAAAAAAAAACGCGTTGCCACTGAGTTGATTCCAACTCATAGCGACCCTATAGGACAGAGTAGAACTGTCCCACAGGGTTTCTAAGGAGCAGCTGGTGGAACTGAACTGCTGACTTTTTGGTTAGCAGCTGAGCTCTTAACCTCTGCACCACCAGTGCTCCAGAAATTGCAATATCTAAGTCAAATCCTTTTACCAAGACAGATAACAAGATCAGTTATTTTAGGTCACCTTTACCCTAGTGCAGAACAAAATAACCCCTACCCTTACATCCACTTATTAATTCACCTAAAGTTACTGAGTATGTGGTATATGCGTCAGACAAGCACTGTGTTAGGTAATAGAGAAATAGTATTGAAAGGAGAAGACATAGTCCCTGTCTTCATAAAATTCACTATCTGTTGGGGGAAGACAGATAAAAGAAGAAGGAAAATAACTGAATATATCTTAACAAAACTCAGTAAAATGCTATGAATTTAATGAATGGGATGCTATGTTAGTAAATATGAAAATGGGGCAGATACCTGAGTTGATGCTTAAGTTTGATTTGAAGGATGAAAAAGAGAGCCATGGGAAGAACTGGGGGAGGAGAGATAAGGGGATTCCAGGAAGGGGAGAACAAAGGTTTATGGTGAGGCTGGTGGGCATTGAGCGGTGGCTTAAGTAACAGGAGGGGAGTCAGGGGCCAGATCTCACAGGGTCTCCTGATAGTACTGGGAGAGATTGAGGGTTTTAAGCAATTGTAAACCAGGTCTAAGGACATCATGGTTAGTAAAATAGGTCAGCAAAAACGAGGGAACCCCTCAATGAGGTGGATTGACACGCTAGCCGAAACAATGGACTCAACATTCCAATGATCATGAAGATTACGCAAGACCAGGCATGATTTCATTTTATTATACATACAGTCACTTTGAGTTAGAGGTGACTTGATTAACTAATAAAAACAACAAGTCATGAATCAGTGTGTGTGTGTGTGTGCACGTCTATGTCGTTAACCTGTCTGATGTGTTTATAATAGATTGGAGAGGGCTTAGACTAGGACAATTGTAGCAGAAATGGATAGAAACGGGCATAAGAAGATAATTTTGCAGATGTAATCTGCAGGATGTATTACCAATGATGTGCAGAATGAAGGAAAGGAGGGGAACAGTGCTGAAACCAGCCTTCTGGCTTGAGTAACCTGTATATATGGTGAATGCTGTTCAACGGGGCACAAACACCCCAGCATACACACAATTCCAGAAGTTTTGGTCAGCTGAGGTGATCAGTTGAAACACAAAGACTCCCCATTTAGGGATGCCATATAGAATTTGTAGAACCTTTTCTCAACCCAGTCTTAGGAAATCTCTTCCTTGAGAAATATCTGACTTGCTGTAAATTTTATTAAGACATCCTTGCTGATTTCCTGATTCATGGGTGGCTTCAAGTAGCCACTAGAGTGTTTGAAAAAATTGAATCCTAAACTTAAGTATTAATGACAAGTTTCCATTGCTACCTTTGGAAAACTTTTATGTGCTATTTAAACTGAGGATAACCTTTATATTATTATGAATTGTTGGCTTTCATGAGATCTTTGACAACATGTAATCTCCTAAATATAAATCACCCTGATGAAACCCACCAAATAAAAGTAAAAACCAAAAAAACAAATATGTTGCTGTCAAGTCCATTCCGATTCATAATGACCCTAGGACAGAGTAGAACTGCCCCACAGGGTTGCCAAGAAGACGCTGGTGGATTTGAACTGCCGACCTTTTGATTTGCAGCCAGGTTCTTTACCACTGCACCACCAGGGCTTATATATATATATAAATATATATATATATATATATTTATATATATATATATATATTTATATATATATATATAAATGTAAACATACTGGGAGGAAGGGGAAGGAAGGAGGTGGGTGGGACATAGTGGTGGTGTTTGTGGGGGAATGCATCATTTAAGTGAATGGTTACTTGGCTTGCATTCCCATTCATCTTTAAACTCAAATAAGAACATGCTGGTTTCCACTACTGAAAAATTTCTACCTCCCACAGAGCAGAAGGTAGAATCTAATTTCTGCTGTAAGGTCCTGGCAATTTCCATAAAGAGTAAACGGCAGGCTAATTTGCTGACATGCTATTTTATATTTTGCTCTTCTTTTAATTCCAAGAAGGTAGCCAAGCAGTTGTAGTACTTTGCTTCAAAGCCTTATTCTTGGCAGAAAGTGAAAGCTGCTGGAAAACAATGCCTTTTTCAATCTTTTGTAAGTCCTGATTTGCAAGGTGTTCCAGAAGGGAAAAGCCGAGAGCAGAATGCCTTTGAGGGCTGAAAAAGAATAAGAAGAGATTACCATCCACTGGGAAAGAGATGGAGGTTGGTGGGATTCAGGAGTACTGAGTGTCAGCATTCTGCTCTCTGGTGGGTTCAGAGAAGGTGAAAAGACCTCAGAGAGAAATGGTGGAGGTAAACCTAGAGAGGTTGGCCCTCAGCTCTGGGGCTGCAGGACTCAACAATGACATCGTGCCCACTTACGACAGGAGCAGCAGAGTCCATGCAATTCAAAGGACAAACTCAGACTATTGACTTCTCAGTGTGGACCAGAGCAGACAGAAGAAAACAGTGGCTCTGAATGACTGGGTAAATGGGATGGGTACCAACAATGACGATGATTGAAGATTTTGCAAACTCAGAAGAAGGGCCCAAGGTTTGCTTTAAGCTGGTACAAAGACAATTGAGAAATGTGCTGTATCTTGCACACTTGAGTTTGTGGACTAATACCCGTACAATAATTTTAATAATATCTTCTGAAAGAAGCTGTTAAACAAATACCTGAGGATATAGTTATCCTCCAAAGTTTAGAATTATAAAAGGGAATTCTTTTCTTTCAGGTCACATGTCACACCTCATCAATGGCCTATAAATTCCTAGTGAATTCTTAGGTGCCAAAGTTGCTAAGATCAACCATCCAAGGAGACATTGGTAACCTCACTGTGAAGATGTTGTCTGTTAGCAGGAGCAGAAGTACGAAAACATAATGTGACATTAGCTTTGAAACAATAACCCAGAACAGTGAGTTCTTGCTGAGTTCTTCTTTAAGTCTATCAGTCATTGTTCCTTAAGTCCATAAAGCAAACTACATCCAGTAAGTATTTGTTAACTCCTTGCTTCCTAACATAATTGGTGGTGGTCGATGGATGCCCAACCACTTAAGTAAAGAAAAGACTGATGCAGTCCCTGGAAACTGAATACACTGTCTACTCAGTGAGGCAGGAAGACATTGAAGGACTGAGAACTGTCAACTGTGGTTCCAACACGCCCTTGTCCCCAGGAGCTGAGTCTTCCAAATCTTTTGCACATGGTCTTAGACCCTAACTGCTTCTTTCCATCCTATGTTATTTTTTAAATCGTGGTGATATATATAACAAAAAAATTTGTCATTTTAACCACTGTCAAGTGTACAATAAAGTGACATTAATTTTATGCACTATGTTGTAGAACCGTCACCACTATTTGCAAAAGTTTTTCATCATCCCCAAACAGAAACTCAACACCCCTTAAGCAATAATTCCCATTTATCCCCCTTCCCAGTCCCTGGTAACCACTAATAAACTTTGGTCTCTATGCATTTGGAGCTCTGGTGGTGCAGTGGTTAAGCGCTCAGCTGCTAACCAAAAGGTCAGTGGTTCCCAGTTGCTCTACGGGAGAAAGATGTGGCAGTCCGCTTCCATAAGGATTACAGCCTTGGAAACCCTATGGGGCTGTTCTACTCTGTCCTATGGCGTTGCCATCAGCTGGAATTGACTCGACGGCAATGTTGATTCCCCCCACTCAGGGGAGGGGGTTATACAATACACAATATAAATTTGTGTCTGCCTTATTTCACTCAGCATAATGCTGTCAAGATTCATCCGTATAGTTACATGTATAACTTCATTTATCTTTATGGCTGAATAATATTCCGTTGTGTGTGTCTGTGTGTGTGTGTATGTGTATCTATATATATAGATATATATATCTACATGCACATATTATGTTTATTCATTTATTTTTTGATGGACACTTGGGCTGTTTCCAACTTTTGGCTATTGTGGATAGTGCTGCAATGAATCAACTCCGTTCTATAAAACCAAAATGGGGCAAACAATAGCTGCTAATAGACAAAAACAATTCCTTCCTCTTCCAAGAACCTTGAAATCTAGTTCGTCATTTGACATTCCCCTGCCAAAGCCCTATAAAAATTCTGCCTTCCTTAAGTTTAGAGAACTCCTTCAGAGCCTTCTCATGCTTGACAATTTCGAATAAAAGCTTATACTCTCTGGTTGATTTTCTTCCTCAGACAATGAAAGGACATAGCATGCCAACCCATGCATCAGAGTACCCTGCAGAGCTTTTAGGCAATACGAATTCCTGGACTCTACCCAGACTTTCTGGAGCCCTGGTGGCACAGTGGTTAAGAGCTTGGCTGCTAACCAAAAGTTTGGCAGTTCAAATCCACCAGCTGCTTCTTGGAAACCCTATGGAGGCAGTTCTTTTCTGTCCTATAGGATCACTAAGAGTTGGAATCGAGCGAGGGTAAAGTATTTGTCCTTTTAAAGCTCTTCAGGAGATACTGATTCAAAGTAAATTTTAGGGACTACCTACATGTAGAAAATAATTTTGGAAAACCATAAAGAGCTAATGAAAGATAAGATATTAAGAGATCTAGAGTCATAGTTTGTGTCATTTGAACTCAGAAATAATTCCCATACATATTTCCACATTGATAGAACTGACTGCAGCCTGGACATGGGAACCCTCTTAGGTCTGGATACAGTATAGATATTTCCCCACTTCACCAGGACCATCTTGTGTCTTACATTACAATAATTAACACGGAGGTGTTCTTTGAAAAAGAAAAAAGGACCTAATATCCCAGAAGGTCATACACTTGGAGTTACTTTCAGTCAAACGATGAAGGTGCATTGATACCTTTTTTCATTCCATTTCCCCATGTCTCTGAGGTGAAACTTTATAAGGTTCATCTCAGGAAACTTATGAACCAGGAATTGAAAACAGCGTCCTAAATATCAGATTTAACCAACCGTGGTAAATGGCCAAAAATGATCTATTATCACTTAAAATTAAAAAGCTGTCCACCTAAGTGGTATGCCAGTATACCAATCAATTTATCTAGAAGCTAAAAAGTAGAATTTGCTGCTGTTTATCACCAAAAAAATATAACAAAGAAAGAAACTAAACAGAAATTAGCATCCAGACAATGACTTCAATATTTTATGAGGTCCTAAGATATTTATCAAGCCACGAAAATTAAAATACGTTATCATTTCTTCTTGAATTATTAAAGGGCAAAGAAGATGACATTAAAAGTGTTGATCATTTCGGGGGCAAAACACCACACAGGCTGCTTATTAAACTGAATTATTATTAGAAAAATTCAAACAAAGGAATGAACTGTATGTATCAGCTTGCAGTTATGCTTCGGTCTTGGTTTCCAAAGCCACCTGCACGAAATGATAAAGTCTAAAGCTTCAGCATAAGAAAAGGTGATGAGGGTAGAGGGGGATTACCTGTCATGGCTTGTTGGTCATCCACGGTTAACTTCAAACTTTTTCCTCGACGAACCACGCGCACTGTGTGCCATTCGTTATCATTGAGGTTATAGCCGGCAAAAAGGGTTTCGGGACCTTTGCCTGTAGAATATGCCAAACGGTCATTATGGACGCTCAGAATCAGTCAAACAAATGAACCTCACAGAGAAAGAGTGAGAGAAAGAGACAAGGAAGGGGAGAGAGGGAGGGAGAGAGAAAAGAGAGAGAAGGAAGAGAGAGAAAGGAGGGAAGAGAGATTGGCTGGACCAATGTTCAAGCCCATTAGAGTCATAACAAGCAAGGAAAATGTCAAGTTAACAAACATTCAGGTGTGAGCATTTAAGAAGGATCTTTAACATTACGCATTGATTTAAGACAAGCTAATGGACCTGTTGTCATAAACGGGCACAGTCAATAAGGTGCAATAAGACACTGGGAAACCTCCCAAATTTACGTTTTTTTTTTTTTTTTCTTTTTCTGAGGGAAGTTCTCTGACTTGTGCAGTTATCACTTTGCTGTTAAAGGAGTGGCTCGCAGTCCTGTCACCTCTGACCAAGGGGAGTGATCCAAACATAGGTCATTAGCTAACCATTTTCAGTGGGTGGACAACCAGCTGATTAGACTCTAGAGGAGGCTGCTCAGGGTACTATACTGTGTTTGGGCTGCTCCCCAGCTTCTCCATCATGTAGCTTCAATGTCCATCACATCCTCTGTTTCATTTGCCTCTTAAATTTATGGAAGGTTGTGTCTAAACAATAAATATAAAAACCTCCTTATCACTAATTGACCTAGACGTTGCCAATCTCTCTGTGTGTGGTAGAGGCAGAGAAAATGAGTATAGGTAAAAGTATTGACTCCTAGTTAGTAAAGAAGAAAAAAAAAAATCACAGCCCAAAAGGGCCAAATGTTGAATAGAAAGAAAACAAAAGTGAGATTAAAAACTGTAGAGGGTGGAGGTTCTCAGCTAACAGCTAAAAGATGGAGGGCAAGACGTGTAACCAGAAATGTAACCAACTGGGAAAGTAACTAACTACCCGCGAATATATGTAAACCTGTGCGAATGTGATTTAAATTGGTTTAGAACAGACATTCTAAAAAAGTTGTTTTGTGGAAATTATTGAAATGACAACATTGGACTATGTCTACCTTCAACTTAAATACAAAGTAAGAAACAATTTTATTTTTTGTAGCCAGAAACAATTTTAGCTTTTAATGTAACTGGACATTAAAAAAATATTGTTTCTACTAATCAGACATGATTCATTGATAGAAAATAATGAAAACTTTTTTAAAAATATGTTATTTGGTGATGGATTTTTTTTTTCTCCTAAGTATTGAAACTTGCTGGTGCATTGAAATAATAAATGGCATTCATTGCATCATTGAATTTCATGATTTTCAACTGATTCATGACCAGCATTGTGGTTCATAATTTCTTCAACCAAATTCCACTAGCAAGAACAATCAATGTCTAAGGATCATTGGAGGATGTGTGATAAGCCTGAGACATAAGCCAGGGACAAAGATAAAAGAAGAAGAAAGATTAGAGAGACAGATAGACAGATGGAAACCAGTGGAAGAAACCTCAACAGTCCACCCCACGGGAGATCATTGTTTGCTCTTGGAACTGCAGGCCATCTACTCAGCCCCTAGACATCTTTCTTATGGTGTTGCTGATGATACAAGTTCTATCTTCCTTGTTTGGGGTGTCTCTGGGGCTTAAAATGAGCCAGTATATCACTAAACTAAATTTTGCAGGAAGAATTATCTCGAATCATTAAACAAGGTCATTATTAAGATTAGGAAACTTCTCTTCTTGTTTCTTTAGAGAAGTTAAATTACACATCCAGATACATGAGTAAAAATGATTCTAGATAGAACAATTTTGAGAGCTAGATCACCAAATAACTAAAGGGAGCCTATTAGCTCAGAAACTGCAAACATGCTTTGAGACCAAATGTTGAAAGCAAGTTCCAGGATGAAAGGAACCCTTTCTAGTTTCAATAGTGAAGAAAGAAGGGTTTAATAGCTGCACCATCTTAAGCATCCTACTGGCAGCAAAGTTCATTCAGCTTTGATCTCTGAAAAGCGAATACATCATTTAAAAGCTATTTTTACAGAAGAACCCTTTTCTTCTTCCTCTTAGAAATGTGTACTTCTGAAGCACCTTCACACCTGTCCTCTTAATTTTAAATGTGTTTTGTCAAAGAAAAGAAGCATAAGGGTGATATCATCATTATACCCCATTCTGGGCTTCATCTTGCAGTAAAGTCATAATGCTTAATCTATTGAAAAACTATTTCCATAACAACAGGCACAAAATCCAATTAAAAACAGCCCTTTGGTTCATAGAACTCCCTGAGGGCCAACTTCAAGCTCCATTCTTGCATTATTAAAAATGTGAAGAGATTGATTTTGGAAGACAAGGCTTTTAAAAATGCAATTAATATTCTCAGTCCAAAACACTGTTACCCGTGTCTAACATGATGTGCAGTAGAAAGCGCACTAGACAGGGAACTACTAGTCCTTGATTTTCTACTAAGGAAGCTTGATCTGTTATCTTATTTCATCTTTGCATTATTATCATTCTACAAATGTGAAAATGGAGTCCTAGAAAGCTAAAACTACCTGCCCCAAGGTCACACAGTTAACAGGCAACAGAACCCAGTTCCATCCTCGGCCTGACCTGATCAAAGCTTGCATGCTTCCCTGTGGATGACACTGCCTCCCAGCTCTAGGACCTTTGGCTAGCAACTTAAGCTCTTAAGCTTCAATTTCTTCATCTCTAAAATGAAGAGGTGGACAAGATGCTCTTTGTCACATCTTCCAGCTTACACTACAGAAGATCCCACTCCTAGGAAATCCTGCACACCCTCTGCCTAAGTCCTGGTGGAAGAACATCTCTGAACAATACACCATACTTCTATCTAGGGAGGCTGAAATGGCTAGTGCTAAAGATATGATGGTGCCCTGGTGGCACAGTGGTTAAGAGCTCAGGTGCTAACCAAAAGGTTGGCAGTTCAAATCTACCAGAGGCTCCTTGAAACCTTATGGGGCAGTTCTACTCTGTCCTATAGGGTCACTATGAGTTGGAACCAACTCGACGGCACCTTAACAACAACAACAACAAAGATAGGCTATAGTGGAAGGACCACTTGAAGGGGCATCACAATTTGGGATCTGTTTCCACCTGTAGCCAGCAATGTAAACTTTGCTAACACACTCAACTTCTAGTGTCTGAACATCCCCATCCATAAGCTGAGGAGATGGTTTAGCTGATCTCTATGGTGCCTTTGAGCTCACACATTCTCACATACATTTAAATATATGGAATTGATAAAGAAAGATGGCTCAACTGTTGACATTTTGAGGTTAAGAGTCTTTTGTTTTCTTGCCAAAGTTTTAATGATAAAATTATATTCATTCCAGCCATTAATGACGTGAATTCCTATTAGCATTTCTTTTTTCATGTTTCGTCAAAACATGCATTATTGGTGCTAACATCTTTCTTCCAGCATTTTCATGCTTTTTTCTTTTTTTTAATGTTTCATCAAAACATGTCTTATTGAGGCTAACATCTTTCTCCCAGCACTAATGTGAGAAATATTTTAAAGAATTGGTTCAATTTTTAAACACAACCATTTCTTGTGTATAGTAGGGAGTTATGATTTATATGTATTTTTATACTTGATTCTTACTGTAACCTATTATTTCAGCCATAGAGGGTTTTTTTTTTTTTTTAGTAGTTAAGGAAACAGATTTAGGAGGGTTGAGTGAATTGTAGTAAGTCTCAGAGGTGGTAAGGAGTGGAGTTAAGACTGAGATCTTCCCTCTCTCGTAGTCTTATAGAATGCGCATATAGTTTATTCCCTCCTAGATAACACTGGAGACTCTATGTTGGTATTATGCATTTTATTAGGCACAAATCCAATTTGTTTAATCTGATTACTAATGCATTGTTTAGGCTTTTTGCTTCTTAAGTCAATATTTCGTAGTTGATTTTTCAACTTTTCTTTGCCTTAAACATCAAATGCAAGTAATTTCTATTTTAACAACTCTACCCAGTTATTTCAGTGGTTAATTTGCTGGTTCAATCAAACCATTCATTGAGCATGGGGATTCTGATGAGTGCTTCTTCACAGCCATTACCTAGCAGACTGCAGAGCTGATAGGAGGGTAGGTAGGTAGGAGCAGTGGCAAGCCTTCTTAATCTTTGTGATGGCAATCCTCTGTATCATTAAATTTTAATACATATTTTTGCTATTTCCATGCTCTAAACATTTCTTGTAGTTACAGACTTATGTCCATTTAAATTAAAAAAGTCTGTTGAGAATAGGCATTACAAATGAGATTTGCGACAGCCCAAAGCTATTTTCCATATGTTACTAGATTGCTGAGAATTCATTTAAACGCATGCACAATATACACACAGTTATTTTCTGCCGTTCTAAGGACATGGACAGTATAGGTGCTACCAACTGACTGCCACGCCTTCAAGTCTTTAAGGTTCGGTGTTAATTTATCTCTGTGCATCAAGTCTGGCTCAGTCTCTACCCTAGAACTTTGCAACACATTGGTTGTAAATTATTCTTAATTTACCAAAGAAACCAGAAAAATAGGAATTTACAGCTGTCTTGGAGAGAAGGTTGAATCTCACTCTTGGTTAAAATGAAAGAAATAAAATAATTCAGACTAATAAAATTAGATGGCTTTATAGATACCTGGAATACCTGTAGTGAAAAGCAGGTTTTCACACAGAGAACAAAGACAACGCAGTCAACATTGATGGCATTCATCTGTCCAAAAGCCCCATGAAAAACACAGGAAGGACATTTATAAGCTGAGGGAATTTCATTTTATAAGTTTCTCCGTAAATGAGTACCAGCAAACTATAATGGACTGATTATAAACTGTAGCCAGTATAGTCAATGCTGAACAATAAATTGATCCTCTATACTTTAGAGGAAATGCAAAGAATTGTTTAGATTGGTTGTTCCAACAGCATTTCACCCAGGACTCCACACAGTTCGACTTATAGAAATTATACGTTTACTATGTGCATTTTATGAATGACAGGCTACGTTTTCTCCACAAGAAAAAAT